ATGTTATTGGTTGTAAATTCAAAGATTATAAAGAAATAAATACTTACAAAATGTAAACATTACTTTGATTTTGTAGTTATTTAAGATACAAGTGCGGAAAGTAAGGTTTTTCGTGCCAATGAAAACCCTCGATACGCTCGTGTTTTCAATTTGGCCCTTATTCGAAAAACCTTTTACGCTACAACATTTTTCAATGCTTTTTGCGAGGAAATAAGACAAATATATATGTTAATAAAACTAAGTATGTATTAAAGGTAAAAATTATTTGTTAAAATTAAACGTGATATTTGAACATGTTTTCGTGTCATACATTTTTATTTGAAAATATTCGTTCTAGGCTCCTTGAAATACTTTTGCCTCTAAAGTTTGACATATTTTCATCAATTTTTTTTAAATTTCCTTGGTGCTCGGCCAAAAAAAAATAAAAAATATTTTTAATCACGTGTGCAGTAAAGGATTTCAGTACATTTTTATTTAACACGTGTTTAAAGACTCACTTTCGGTGTTTACAATGGATTAAAAAAATAGCGCTTTATGAGCAACTGCATTGAAAAATATTTTACACGTCTGAATAATATATAAGATTGAATAAATACCATTACTGAAGTTAAATATTTAATATATATGAAAAAGTCTTTATGTTAATCTAATAACTTAGAGATTTACTAGCTAGGGGAAAGATAGCCCATATTATTTTTTTATTTTTCTTGTTATCATAAAACATCCGTTTGATGCGAATATGGCTTTATATCTAGACGCACTGAATACTTATCCAACTTGTATGACATATAACTGAAGTGTATCAACTAATGCAACTCTTCAAGTGTTAATTTCCATAATACGATAACCACACCTTGCGTTATCTCAGATTACAGCATGCAACGTCAGGTCAACGGCCTAATTCGTGAGCCGACCGCAAATGCTATGAATCATATTACGTTCTTTATGACACTAGACGCGAGGAGTATAGTGTGTTACGTAACTAAAGAACTAATTACATTGACACATTCCAAATGTGCGTTGTCTTTGAGTGTACTAAGTCTTTTATAATTTTATCTTATCAAAATTTTAAGATTTCTCCTTTATACAAAAAATGAATCCACCCAATCAAATGCTTCAGTGTAGTCCAAAATTATCAGAGTCACTGTTACAACACATGTGTTGACATTATTAACTAATTATATTTACTTTGGCTGTTCCGACTGTTTGTTTATTGAATTTGTGAAGGGAGTGCGCTCTTTACTGTTGAATCGCGATATGCCATGTTTGGGTAGAGAACTTGCTTCCACGTTTGGGGGCAGTCGTAAATATTTCAAGAGTATTAAAATTAGATTCGGTTTGATTATTCGTTTCTGTCCGGTTCTTTTTAATGACTCAGACATTTGGGTTTTCTATGATATGGTCGTTGAAATGTATAACGTCTTAAGAAAACGGTAAGTTATTTTCTTGATAGTATTTTTATATAATATTTTATCTCATAATCGAAGTATTATACCTCTTAGTCAAGTGATTAAACGGGGATTTTCAGAAATATTAATGGTAGATAAATATCTATTATAATGTGTAATTAACATTAGGCCCAGTGATTTGACCTTAATACAAGACAGGTTGTCTTATTTGAATCGTTGTTAATGGTGTTGACCATTGTCATTTAGTAATTTGACGACATTAGAATGTTTGTGTTGAAATGAATACCACTTATCTCCTAACGTGTGGTCCTCAATTATATGGTCGTAGTACTACTTAAGATATTCATGTGCTACATACACTCTTCTATTTGTTTAATGTGTGTAGTTTGAGAAAGTTTTCTGTGTTTTTAACATTATAAATAACGGTCAAAGAGGTCCTTTTTATTCATCAAATATTTTTTCTTTTTTATTCCAAATAGTTTGTATTATAATGTTTGTTGCTTTAAACGATAAGTAATTTTAAATTTTGCCTTTCTTACTTTAATTCCTATAAAATGTATACTATTGCCTATTAATACTGCCATTTGCCATGAAGCCGCAATAGTATAGACCAGAATCTTTTATATATTATTATTTATATACTATTGCGTTTAACTGGACATGGTTCGTAAACTAATCTGTGTCAGCATTAGGATCTCATTGTTTTCTCCGTTAAGCTTAAATCTTTACCCTTAACATTTTCAGCACATTTCACACGGCTGTAAATAAGTAATATAAATTTCTATTTAGCATGTAAACGACACGTCGGTCGCCGCCGCCGTCGTGTGTCCGGTCTACTTTATGTTCCGATGATATAAATGTTTCATGTAACACTGACCCGCTTGCATGCTACTACTTACATGCAACATTCGTAGTTAACAATTCTATTTGCTCCTAAAATACCTATGTTTTTTTATTTATAACAATCATAACTTTGTACACTTTAAATGTTAGCTTAATTCTTGCTATACGTAGACGTCGCCGTTCAAAATATAAAGATATTGGAACAATATTACCATCATCATCATTTTTTTGTTTTTTTGTCTGTCTTTCACTTGGGTTTAGGTATTTATTAGTTTAAATAAATACACAATTAAGCCGTGTTTGCTTATTGCCGTATTTTTATGATTTATTGACAAAAGCAGTCCGTGAATATCATTATCTACAGTGTCATTGCTAATACCAAGGATTTCACTAATGTTTAATTGGTATATTTATCTCTTATTGTAACTTTAATGAAGAACTCAATATTTCATTAGTAAATTAAACGCATTATCTTCATTCCTATCAAGATTCATCTCTATAACAATTAAACAATTTTGTAGCCCTTCGTTCTACGTACGGGAAGCCACTCAACTCGTAACCAAATAATGCGTGCCATAAAATGCTCCGTTTGTTATTTTTACTGAGATCCATAACAAAGGCTACCCTCGTATTGTTGATGCTTACTAGAAGTGACATCATTATTATTTTTAATGAAATCCTTTTTATTTTATCACTTTGATATGTTACGTTTTACAGATACGTTTGTTAGAACTACGTATCGCCGTCTTTTTAAATATGATCTTTGATTTGGTTTTCTCTAAAATTTTGAGTGTAAATATTTTATTCATTCTATGTTTTCTTAAATAAATTTACCTTTTGATAACTTTTATATGTCAAGGCAATACAAGTTTCCTTTTACTATCGGAGAACATCCTTTATATTATATATTTTAAAATAACATCTTCGACGGTTCAGATAGTCAAAAAAATAATAAGTTGAAAAACTAAAAACCGACTACAGCTAAATCACGCTTTAAAAAGTTTGAAACAAGAAATTGATTTTAAAGAGATAGTTTTTCCCACTGATCATATAAAAACAAACTGTTGTGTTTACTATTCTTAATGAAAAATGCTTAAAAAATCCCTTGGTCCCTTGATCTCAGGGTCTCAGGGGATTTTTAAGCGTTTTTTATTAAGAATATTTTTCAGTAGGTATAGTTAGTTGGTTGAATGGTTATTTTTTATTTAGTTAAGGGCATAGATGAACATTATTACATACATACATGCCGGTCCAAATTATAACCCGCTTTTCGCTTCGCCATAGTCGGGTAAAAATATACCAAATCAGATCTTACTATTCAAATGCTCATACAAAGTTGCGTGGGTTCCACAATTCTTCAGATCAAAATTAACCGTCTAACTCATATATTTTTTTTTATAATCAATCATTATTTGACTTCATGTTTGAATAAGTTTTAAAAAAATACAACCCTGATTTAACCGTTTTTTACAGTTCGTTTCTTCTGTTGTCTTCTATAATATAATATTATAAAGAGGAAAGTTTTGATTGTTTGTTTCTTTGTTTGCATCGAATATGCTCCGAAAATACTGGGACCGATTTTAAAAATTATGTCACCTATGGGTAACTACATCATACGGGGTTGATAAAAGCTATAATTTACGCGGGCGAAATCGCCGGAAAACAGCTAGTACCATATAATTATATATATGAATATGAATGAAGGTTTAATTTGAAACTAATATTGAATACTATTTGAAAAAAAAGGATCGAAAAATAGTAACATCTAGAATTGTTTAACATCTTCGAACATTTTATACCTGCTGTTTTTTGTCTATCTCTGGATGTGTTTAGACAAGAAACAATCCGTGAAACAATACTTAATTTCGTCTACTCAATGGGGTTGGTTTACGTGTACAGTTAACGACACATTGAGATTGACATTTGCCACACAAATATGACACTTGACACCGAGTAAAAAAGTCATGTGAATTTCAAGTCATTATACCGATTTAAAATCTTTTTTGATGAGTCACACTCGTTTCGAACCATTTTTTTAATGGTCTCTGAAAGTTAATTACGGGTTTGATTTATTAATCCCGTATATTATTGTAATTTGTCTTTCTGTCGGATGGTTTTCTTTTTAATTTTCGTTATCTGTGGCAATGTATTATGAAGCAATCAGTTTTAACGATTCAATTATTAGGAGTTCAAGTGTCAAGGGATTCCAAAGTCGCCACTATTTTTTCCGTCAAATAGTCCATCACTATCTTCTTTATCGAATGGCAGGTTTAAAAAACTTATCTGAATCGATATCACATGTCAATATAAAGTGTGGGATTTACGAGACATCTGCTACAAAAGTTGCATTGTTGTACCGTAAACTAGCTTGAAGTCTAGAGTTCTTATACGTAACGATTTTAAAAAAAGTTTTATGAACATTTATAATAAAATGCGTAAAGCAAAAAATTCAGACTTCTTTTTAATGAAAATTGAAGTATAAACGGAAAATGTGTCGCATCTAATCGGTCTTGGAATTTCAAAACTGGCAAAACTTGACGGATTTTTAGTCAGGTTTGCACCCAAACTTTGAAAAAACCGTACACATTGTCTTCGATAATAGTGTCAAAAAAAGACCTACAATTTGTAAAATAATAGAATTTGGTTCCACGTATGTTTAATATTATAATCCTCCTCTTTTATGATGAATTAGTTTATTCTTATTTTTTTTTTTACTACAAAATTAAGGTTATATATTTTTTGTTACAGTTGGTTTCCTTGTTTTGGCGTATTACCTATGGGGTCAGCCGTTTGAGCGAGGATTTTTCTGTGACGATGAGTCCCTCAAGCACCCGTACAAAGATTCGACAGTTACCAGTACTATGCTTTACATCGTCGGGCTGGGTTTACCGATGTTTACGGTGAGTACTAATTACAAGTAGCTATGGTATATGGAAAACCACTTCATGATCTCAGCCGTATGACGCTCAGTGCTGGACATAGATATAGTCAAGCATCACACCCAGCAACTGGCTGCTACTTTACTGATCGTCGATCTATTTGATTGGAAGCACCACTGAGCGTCATCCAGTGCCCATTCAACGTTTGACAACCTTTCCACCCAAACGGCCATCGGATCTTCTCGGTGTCCCACCCATTGCTTATGATCTTCTTATAAAACTGATTTTCTAATTTGTGTAACATAAATTTGTAAATTAGGTTGATTTTGAATGATAGAAGAGGCTATTTTAATACTGGCTCACAAAAGGCTAAAGCTCCCATATCGGTACCGGTCTTTTCCAGTCTTATTTATGGTGCTGTTTCATTATTTACACTTAATTTTATTTCCTACACCAAAATGATACTAAATTGCCATCTAATATCACTAATTGCTATTAGTAAGTGTTTTTATAAATATCTATAACAAACACATGCTCTATTTTTAACGATCTGGGGGCCAATTCTACTAATTTACAACGATCGATCGTCAATAGCGTTTCTGTAACGGTTACGTTTCGATTTTTGCTGTAAATTTGCATTCTGCTAACGTCAATTATCAAACGAACGTTTACTAAATTGAAACGTAATCGTAGCCGAACCAAACAGCTGTCATTAGTGTTACCAGAATAAAATAAATGAAATTATTAGTTAAACGGGAGACGATTAATGATTATTCATTTTTTTATCACTATATAATGAATGTATTACATTTGTATTCGATCGTTTTAAAATAAGGACGAAACAACCGAATATTAGCTACATTAAGAAAGTGCATACCTAAGTGTTAAGCTACAAGGGAAAATACCCGAAACGCGAATTTATAATTAATATTTTTATCATTATGGGTATTTGACACTATAAAAATAAGTTGCGTATTATTATCATCATGTTAGATAATAATCTAATAAAAGTTTATTTCTTATAATCTGTAGATTTTAAAATTATATTCATCGAAAATAGAACAGATTCTCATGTAATATATTGACAGTGTGTTTATAATGTATCAAACAACTATTTTAATTAATTAGTTTTCAGAAAAGCGTCATATACCCAATTCTATTATTAAGCACTCAACTTTAAACATGCTTAATATTTAAAGCATAAATCCGATATAATTAAGTCTTTTAATTAACAAAAAAAGTCAGATGAAATACTATAAATCCTGGCGTCAACTAAAGATAACGTCAAGCTTAAAGAGTTAAGTTTCAAAATTCAAATGGTGTTGGTTTATTTTATTGTTTATACCGAGTTTTAATTCGCAAAATAAATGTTATTATGTGAGATAAAGTAGCATGAAAGTGAATAATATGATTCCGTAAAATAAAACGGTACCTACATGGGTAGGTCGTGAACAGAAAAGTTTTGACTCATTTTCAGTCACTAACAAACTGTAAGAAGTGAGGTATGCAATCAGTCCAAGACTAAGACGAGCATTAATCCAGAGGTGTATACTTTACTTTAAACAACTCCGTTTCAAAAGAATGTACAACAAAAATAATCATTAAATTTATACATTTGTTTGTACTAAAAATTAAATGTTAAAGTTAAATGATGATTGCATATGACTTTAGTAACTTCAATCCATTTAAACAGAATTCATTAAACTTCATTGAATATCATCAGACTTCATCAAACTACATGGACTTAGTTGAACTTCATAGTTCATATTGTGACTTTATGGGACTTCATTAGGTTTTCATATAACATTTCCAATCACGGGCATTGGAAATTACATAATAATAATAATATATATATTTATTTATTTGGGCGTTGTTGAATCAACAACCGTAGTAGTCCGTAAAACTTAGGTAAAATGCAAAATTGCACCAAAATTAACTAAAAGTATATTAAAGTTTTTTTTATTCAATATGATAATGAATGAATTAATCGATTATTTTCCAATCGATGTTTGATTTTCATGATTTTCATTGCAACACCAATTCACTTTTTGTCAATACAAACCACAATGATACAGACAATGTTTTAATTAATCTTTCATTCATTCGTTTTTCATTTTACATGTAGAAATTAATTTATTCACTTGACTTTGGCTGAATTGTGTGAAATGCGCAGATATACCATTAATAAAAGAAGAATGAAATTGACAAAATTGAATTGTAAATGACAATTTAATATGGGATATCTACTAAAACAATCCCCATATGTGTATTTTTTTGTAATATTAAACTGTAATAGGAAGTGAAACATTATACTGGAAAATATTATTTACAAAATTAATTTTATAAAATAATTCATACCATGTATTGGCTACGCACGTGAAATTGGCAGAATTATGCGAAAGCCCTTAATAAAAGAAGAAGTTTTCGATTGAAAATAAATATTCATACGTATCAATAACTTAGTGAAGAAGATAAACGATAGTCGATTCAAAGTAGACATTTAAGAGAGAATTATTGATGATGAAATGAATCCAATATCTTTCGAAATCTGGCTATACCTACATCTGTACACCGAATCAAGCAAGGCAACATAATATATACTGTGGAAAATCTATTCAAGATTAAATTTAAAACAATGTTTGTTATAGAAACCCATTAGAAATGTCATTATTGACTAGATATTATATGTAAGATCAGAGAAAATTATTAATGATTTGACATATCTTTCACATTAAGTTGTATACAAATTAAATTCTTGTAGTTGCATGGATCTGCTCGCAGCTGTCATCCATGCTGACTATGAGCAAATTAAGTATAAGTTTCAACTGATATAAAAGAACTTACACATATAAATTCCTGCCAAATTGAACAAGAGCTCCTGATTCACAGGCTTATTTTTTTTTGTTCTAAATTGTAACCCATCATAGCGTATGACAGTTTTCTTTGGAATATTGGTGGTTGGTTTTAATTTTGTGTCAAAAACAGTAGAATATGTATTTTTCATGTAGCTAATACTAATTAGGCTGAACATTTATCTTGCACGCAACTTAATATATGGTTACAGAAAGCCTCATGTTATTTCAAATGTTACATAAAACTGAGCTGAGGCTAAGATCATTTTATTTTATTTTTAAAATTAAAAATAATTCAGAATAAAATCTTATAAACAGTATATTTACCTGTTTAACAATCCTTTAAACATGATGATGATATGATGAAATAATCCTTTATAATATTATAATCTCCAAATAAAAAAGTGAGTAATACTTTGTCAGAAAAAAAAAATATTCATAATTATAATTTTTTAATTAAGATTATTATTTGATCATATTTTCTTTTTAATGTTATTGATAACATTTACACCCCTGTCTTCATAAATTGTTGTCTCTCTCTCTCCAACCCATGGTTGCCTGGAAGAAATCGCTTTAAGCAATAATGCCGCCAATTGTTATTTTATTTTATTTTACCTATATAACTTGTGTAATGTTAACAATAAAGAATTTTCTATTCTATTCTCTATAATGGTATTATTAATATAGTTTTGGTGAACTTCCTAAACATAAATGAGCATATGCTCACTAGTAATGCAGGTAATTCTTAAATTCACAAAACCTGCTGGTTATCTGGTAGTTAAATTGGTTTTAGCAGACGCCCAGACTGTGAGTGTTTATGGGTTTAAATCCCACCTCAAGCACTAATTGCTTGAAGTGGGTTTTTTAATTATTTTCCTTTAAGATAAATATCAATATAGTATTGCAAATGCAAGTGATCAGAAAAAATAATGATAAATTAATTAATTTTTAAACAAGGACTTTTTCAGTGCCATTTTTATTGGAATTCCACACATGCTTGTAAATACACACTTTTAAGTTTTCCTGTAAAAATACTACAATAGTTTACTTTTTTCAATACAAAATATTCAAAAATTCATGTTTTTATAATCATAGATAAGTTTACTTAAAGCCAATAGCCCCTACAATATAATAATGATTTTTACAATGTTCCTATTTACAATGATTGTTTATAATTATGTAAAGTTTTAACAGAAATATAATTATTGATTTTAATTTACATTATATGCCTCAACTAGGTGGACCTTATGGAGAAATGAAAACCTATTAATTTATCTATAAAATGTAAGTTTTTAATAAAAAATAATAATTTAAGATTAATAATCAAGATATAATTTATTTTATTTTTAAAGTCTGCCAACATTTTTACATATCAATAAGCAACCACAAAATTACAGAACTATCTATAACAAATAGATGAAATGGTGTACATAAAAAGTTTATTAAACATATGCATGCACTATCACACTTGTTTATCTAGCTCCATAGTTTTCGATTTTATTTTTTTTCTAATTATTTTACATAATTTATATCACATGGATTGCTATGTTCTCATGAGGTAGATGAGGAATCTGGTGTTTGATACCCAGATTTTGTATATTTACTTCAGACGTCAGGGTGCTCATTGAAAGTATCCTTGTATCTTTGTGAAATAAATAATATTGGATAGAAATTTTATATGCTTGAAGTGCTAGACAGTTAAAGATTAAAATTTTTTGGTACCTTAATAAAAGGTATTTTTATAAATAATTAATGATAAAGCAAACATATCAATGGATTTACACAACTTATTATGTTCTTTACAGTCTATTGATAACTCACTCACAAACTCTTAAAATGTAGGAATTAAAAGTCACAGTGGATTGGAGTATTTAATATATTTCACGTTGTAAATACATAAAAGTCAGATGAGAGTAAAGAAGAGAGTGACATAAAAACAATAAACAGTGTATAAAATACTAATTCAAAAAGGTATACGAAAAGATGCCAGTGTCTGATTAATATACAAAAAGGTTTTATCTACACCTCCCCGTAATCAGGACACTTATGTACACCCTTTATATAAACACACTGTATGTACAAAAACACTATAATATCAAAAGTACCTTAACATGATGCCCTAACCTAATTAACCTAATAACACAAAACAAATAACACTAAACTAATCCT